ACCGCGACTAAAAATAGATCATGCGCAGTCTACAAGAACGTTACGCTATGACAGTCATTTCCTTACTAAATGTAGGTAAGTAAACGAGTTATATTTTATAAATATTATTTATTTTGAACCTATTAAAAAAAAACTATTTGTTTTTTTATTTATAAATTAAAATGTTAAGTACGTATCTATTTACAAACATTTCTTTTATCTGTCATGATGGTAATTATCTCTCCGTCTAGGGCCGAGGACCTGACCCTCAATGTCCGCGATTCAAGCCCTAAGATCGTGTATACGAGTCAGCTCCGTATACTTCCGGGAGATTAAAAATAAATTTATAAAAATAGACGGATGATCACATTCTCAAAATAGAACGATGATGTCATTCTAAAAATAGAATCCAATATGGCGCCGCGCATGCGCAGTCGTGACGCCAAAGAGGCGCCTATACTACTGTTATACACTACACAACGCTGCGATGGCAATTCACTTCACGACCCGACGAAGACAAGATACTAGGCGACACGACGAAGTCAACACGCTGCACGACGAAAGTAACACACTACGCTTCAGGATGTAGACAACACACTATGCGTCACGACAAAGGCAACATGCTACACGACACAACAAAGACAATATGGTACGCGACGAGGCAATATACTACGCGACATGAAGACAACACACTACAGGACACGACGAAGAAAACACACTACGTGACACGACGAAGACAATATGCTTAGCGACGTGACGAAGACAGCACACTACGCGACACGACAAAGACTACAAACGACCCGTCACGACGAAGACAACGCACTACTCGACACGACGAATACAACACACTCGCAACGCAACGAGGGCAATGAGAAAGAAAACCAGTTAATTTTTGTTTATTGTTGTATTTGTTGTATTTACAATGAATCGGTTTCAACATATTTCATCAGCCGCATCGGGCCGTAACATCATCAATCACAAGGGTTCATATGAAACAGTACGGTTACGTCACCAACTACAATTGTTGTTATATGATCCGAATACGACCATCCTAGGCAGTTTTTTGGGACGTGTCTTACTGCACCAACTGTTGATAATATAGGATTGTATGATACTGAACTTTTTTTCAGTTATAGTACGTATTTCTCCCCCTATTCGTACTTTCCTTAAATGTTTTATAAGCAGAATATAAATTACATAAATCAATATTAATTTTAAAATAATCAGTACACGATTTTTGCATTATACGTATTATATAGTATGTTGTGCATTAAAATGACTTGGTGTATCATTTTATGAGACATGTTTTCAAGGCTGACCAAATTATTTGAGTGTTTTTGTACACAAAGAGTATAAGAATGTTTAAATGTTACTTTTATTCGTTAGCATTTCTGAAAAGAATAAAAATATCTATATTACCGTATTTTATTGTTTAAACATTGTGAGCTTGATAATGCTTAAATCAAATTAAATACATATTCTACTAGACTAGTGCATTGTATGTTGTATTTCCTTGTTTAAAAGAAAGTGTAATAAATAGTAAGACTTTCAAATGAAATATCATAATTATATAAGGACAATGAATCCGCCGTTTCTTTTTCGTAATTCCGAAACATTGATAGTTTTTGAAACACCAAATTATGGTGGCTGATTTGGTAGGCTACACTTTGCGCGTTGCGTTGTCGATAAACGATGAGTAAATCAAGTGTTTTATGCATGTAATACACTATCACAATCCCATCCATACTTGAAGATACTTGTATGATACTTTCTTTCTGTTGTATGTTTTCAGGTAATAATGTATGCCGGAAAAAAGCAACCGATCGTCTATATCTCCCGTAGTGATAGTTTCAGCGCATGTCATCGATTGAATAACAATGATCTTTCAGATGAAGATAACCAAATTACGTTTGGTAAATGTAATAACCCTAAAGGACACGGTCACAATTACAAAGTCGAGGTGACAGTACGTGGTCCCGTGGACCCTGTGACCGGAATGGTGCTTAATCTTACCGATCTTAAAGCTTACATGGAAAAAGCGTTTATGTCAACACTTGATCATAAAAATTTGGATTTAGACGTGGACTACTTTAAAGATAAAGTCAGCACAGCAGAGAATATTGCAGTGTATATTTGGGAGAGAATGACTGAACAACTTACACCTGGACTTTTATATGAGGTCAAAGTGCATGAAACTGAAAAGAATATCACTAGTTATAGAGGTGAACAGTCAGAATAACGTACGTCAATTCATGTTCGATGTCTCTAAATTAACAAAAAACTGTGCGATTGAGCACACACCGTAGCTGTAACGAAATAATTTGGCACTTGCTAAAACTATAAAGTTAAGACGGTATCAATTACGTCATATGTCACACCTGTCCACCAATCCACACCCCAACTTTCCAAGCTGCTAATTTATCTATAGATATGCATTCTCGTCACTTTATTTATTTTACTACCAGTGTCACGTATAAAAGTCGTGTGCGGCATTGTTTAATGTTATGATTGTTATCTAATTAAACAGATATGTAAGGTAACTTTATTTGTTACGAAAAAATCAAAAGGTTCAAAAACACATACTATAGATATTATAAATAAAGATGTCATAAATGACAAAACTATTTTTACATCTGTTCAGTTATGACATGAAATATCACGACAGCGTACAACCTTTATTAGTAATAAACCGTATACATTAAACTTTTAAAGAACATGTTCATTATTTGGCTTTTAACATAATTTAGACTTACATTCAATACATTCATCGTTATTTCAAATTGCATTTTATGACTGCTTACAGTTCGTAAATAGTTGTGATGCAATAACTGAATTTTCATGCCACATTTAAGTCCGACGGTTAATAGTTCTCAATAGTTATCTCTCGCATCTTTTTTGTGGTATATTGAACGCGAACAAAGAGAAAATGTATTAAAGTATAAATGTCTCATAAATTTGTACTCTCAGTATACAAAACTGCCGATTCTCATTTTGACCGACATTTCAGTAAAGAAGTTGAGAAGTTTAACAAATTCCAAATTTTTAAAAAAGTTTTTAATTTTTTAAATTTCAATGCAATGGGGCATTTTCGTAATGGTTTTAGGAAAAATGCCCCCAATTGTTTAAACAGAAATCAAAATATGAATAAATTGTTTTTTTAAAGAAAAACATTTCCCTAAGTAATCCACTTTTTTCTAAAGACAAAATATACCTAAAGATTTTTTTTATTTTTGTCTCATCCCTTGATCCCAAAAAAGTTTCAAAAACCCTTTATAAAAAAGTTTTTTACATTTTTGTTTTAAAAATTCCAAAAAAACTCCATGATTACTATGGGATTTACCGTAAATTAAAAAGGTTTTAAAAAAAAAAAAAATTAATTTTGCCCCTTTGGGTTTTTTTTTTGAAAAAATTTTTTTCATGCTGCTATCCTTTTAACTTTTTTAAAAACAAATATAACACTGCAAAATTGTAGTAAATTGAATTGATTATCCCCACCCCTCGACATTTTGTAAAGCAATTTCAACGAAAGCATTAAGTTATTTAAGTGTTAGATGCCTATGTCTGTAAAGTCTTCATTTTCAATGACAATACAATCAGGATACTGCATGGAATGTGGGTTCAAGCCCCACTGGGAGTCGACTTTTTTGTACTTTTTTATTTCTATTTGTCTGGTCAGACTATGGTTCTATTTTAAATTTTATTAAAAATTTCTTTAATTTAGATATATTTGGAAATTTATATGTACCTTTTAGTGTTAAATGAGTGAAAATCCGGTAGTTTTACAACCTAAATTTATTATGTTTTTCCAAACCTGGATAGTCAACTTTCTTTTTTTGTACAAATGTTCAGAAACGTATCTTGATAATTATTATGATGAAGATAAAAGGGTACCCCCATTGATAGCTAACAAATACGGCCGGTTTTCTTCACCCGACCCTCTTTTTGTTTAATCAAATCTGACAAACCTGTTTCAATTATCCCATTTTGTTTTCAAATATGCTTTTCCTTGGTTTTGTTTCTTTTCATTTCGAAATTATTGTTGTTTCTTACCACTTCTACTTAAGTCAGATAAAAATGAAATAAGTAAAATTGTTCTCTAATTGACGATGTTTTCGTTCTATAAAATTTATACAAAAGTTTAACTTAAAGTCGCATGCCTCCAGATTCATGCACATTTTCATGAAAATTTTGAAGTGTGTATTGAAAATCAAGCTATTGTGAAGTTTACATGTGGCTAAGGGCACTTACAGTCCATGTTGATTACAAAAAAATGGGTCAAAATATGAAAAAATAGCTTTTATTTCCTGAGCCAGGTTATAGAAATAAGGTGAACAATACTGCAAAATCAGACAATAATTAATCGCACATTACATGAAAATAATATCTTGAATCTTGAATCTTTTGACTTTTCTACATAACCGCAAAACTCCACTTTAGATTAAGCCTGAGACTTTTTTATTATTTCTCAGATTAAGCCTTTCGCTGCCAGAACCTTTTATGAAATTTCATTGTATTTGCAATAGAAATATCTAAGAATTACAGATGAATTTGTAATTTTAATCACGTACATGTTAATATTAGTTATCGAGGAAGCATTCGATAAAAAATTTGATTAAAGATTATTCAATATAATAATTTATCAAAGCAAATTAAATTTTAAGTAGATATTGTTTAAGTTTATAATGATAGAAAATACAATACATGTACATATACAAGTACTTTTATGGAGAAAAATGAACAAATTTAAGATAAAATGATTGCTATATATACCTCAAACCTGAATTCATCCCTGCCTACAGGGCGTATTTACTCGTTCTACTTCACTTACCGTACCATCAGTTTTGGTCAGAGTAAATATGGTTAAGATATTACCTTTTACAACTGCGTCTTGGTATCAATATCTTAGAGCTGAGACAAGGCCACTGACACACAGGTGTGTGCTTATTTGTTTGTGACCTGAAGGTCAACGTGTATTTGCATCTCTGTGCTACGAAATTGAAATATTTTTAGAATCTAAATGAATGCTTAATTTAATTTATTGTATTTTCCTTCCCATATGTCTTTTTTTTCGCGACAAAAAGTCCTTGCAATTCAGTAAAATAGCGATAAAAGAATGTATTGCCTACAATGTAAAGATAATGAGCTGATGCGGTGGAAAGAATATTGTATGACGTTATATTCTAAAAGCTTCTGACAGTTCGTTAACACAGGCAATGCATTATCTGTTTGTAAATACTGCTTGTTGTTACGTTACGAGGGGCGTTTAAATATGAATGCAACTGGGTCAATTTACATAAGTGCATAACAAACAGGGCCAAAATAATGATCTCAATCCTTCAAAATACTCACCACAATGTGATATACAAAGTTTTAGTCTTTTGATCAAATTTGTTTAATGCGTTTTCATAATCTTTTCGAAGCATACTGTTCAGACACTGGAATATAGCCGAACTGAGATTTTTTCACGTTTGATATTTTCTTCCATCAAGGTGTTTTTTGAGCCTCGGAAATAGGAAGTAGTCACAAGGGGCAAGATCTGGCGAATAAGGAAAGTAAGAAAGCTCGACAACCTTTTCCTGTTTCAGCTATTCTCGCCCAAAGGTGAAATATGATAAACAAGATCATCAAGGAAAGGCTGCGTTCAATGAACGCAACCCCCATACGACCCAGCAACAAGAACTAGTGGCAAGGAGCCCAGGCGGACCCTAAAGAAACAAATATTAACCATTAGTCTAGACATAGAGGGGGACACTAACATTGAACGCCGAACAATCCCTTGAGGATGAAAATATAACAATAGTTGCAGATTTAAGCCGGCAAGCATGAGGTGCATCTTTAACTAAATCCACACCACTTTTGAAATTCTTACACCGTGTGACAGATAAAAAAGAAAGTCCATTGTTCCTATAAACAAGACACATTTCATTAAATATGTCTTTCGCCTGTATAACAAGAAGACAGCGGTTCTTGATATAAGACCCTATTTAGTGAGTGAAAGGAGTTCTTTTCCATCCCATTTTAGCTTTAGTCAAAGCTAGACTGAACTGATTTACACATGTATTGTATCAATTGAGAGCTTACACAACTCATGTACATAGTTCCTTCAAAACGTAGTTAAAAGCGAAATATTGGCTTAGTTGCATTTATATTTGAACACCCCTCGTACATAATAACGTTGTTACGATTAATCAATGATAGATATTTGGTAAAAATACATTCAATAATGTTGAAAATATAGTTGGCAATTGTCCTGTGATCATCATTGATTTCATATATACAAGTATTTTTCACTCAGTTCTAACATTGGCGACATGTTTTCTTCTGTATCTAAATACAAAAATTGTGCCGCCAGCAGTAAAGAAACAGGGTAGACTGTAGACTGTACAAAAAGGAAAAGGAAATCATTTCTGCTCCAGCATGGTAAGGATCGAAATAAATGAAAAGGAAAAGGGCATGAAATGCAGGAGTTACAAAATACAGTGAGTTAGTTGGACCGCGTTTGGACAAATGATCAAATGAATGAATTTTATAAATGCATAACATATAACATGGATTCAGTATTCAAGTTGTTAGTTAAAAGGAACAAATAATATGACTCTCGTGGACTGTTAGAGCATTGTTTTTGTCTACTCAGAATTGTAAACGAGGACAGGAACAAGGATGGGACTTCATATGAGAGATATAATTTACCATATAATAAGTCAGACAGTCTGCTATCTAAATTGCAAATATTAATTAGTAATATGGACAAATTGTCATTTTATGTTTCTCGTGTATAATAATCAGTAGATTTGCACACAATTATACCATATATGTAAATGACTTTTGACACCATCGTTAAAAGCTCATTTAAAGGGCACCACTGACATTCAATATATACTGTTTTGCAATGTGTTACTTTGCATAACTTATAACAATACTTTGATGATATAACAGGCACTATTTATTTTCTTATCCGCCAATGTATCTCGTGATCAGCTTGATGCTAAGTACTGCTGTACATACTGAAATTACATGAATTATTTTTGTTCCGTTTATAAAACTTAAAAGCTTTATTCCTTCAATTCAATTGCTATGGCGACGACTGTGTGTTTATCTGGAGAAGGTATTATTCGAATCAATATTTGTGGAACTATTTTTGAATGTCATTCTAAAACATTAAAAACATTTAAGGAATTTAGATTAACAAAACTTCACGTGCAGACGACACATTATGATTCGGCAAGAAAAGAATACTTCTATGACAGAAATCCATTAATGTTTAACGGTATCTTGGATAGTTGCAGAAAAGGAACGATTCATTTACCAAAAGATATTTGTCGAGCTTCTTTCAGTGAAGAACTTGACTATTGAGGTGTTTCTCCGAGTCACGTGGCGCCATGTTGCTGGGATTTAATTTTTTCAGTTACGGTTATCATTCGATATTAAATGTTTCCCAAATTACACGTATTTTGATGTTTATTTTTAGATTTGGGGAAGTTTTATATCTTTGCTGATTGTTATGTCAACAATTACAGAGGCCTTGGCAACTCTACCAATGTTCACTGTCGACCTAACAGAATCCGAGAAGAGCGTTCTCAATGAAATTGGCAAGTTACTTGGCCTTAAAAATAGCACCGACTCTGCACTCGAAGCTCTCAAACCACACCCATACTTACTACACACAGACGCAAGCTGCCATTTTATTTTAACAGTAGATTTTCTTGTAGCATTTCTCGTCTGTCCAAGAAAGAAAACCATGTATATGTTCAGCTATATCCTATTTATAGTAATACTCGGATATTTGTCATTTTGGATATCGTTCATAATGGAAATTCATCTGGAGTCATTGACAACAGTAACTAGCATACGGACTAACGTGTCTTTTGAATATTTGTCAATACTGCAACTGACGCGTTTGTTTTTCTCGTGAAACGTATACCAGAATTTAATATAATGGGGTACACGTTTCTTTCTTCCCTACAAGAATTAAAGGTACTTGCTCGGAATACTTATGTTTATATTCGGATTCATTATGTTCATCGC